ACAAAGCCAAAGTAGTATTGATCCCAAATACAAGCTAAAGCAGCTTCGCCAGTGCCACAATGATCTCCCAGAGGGAATAGACTCGTTCCTCTCAATGTTTGCTGATGATGCAAAAATTATGAGGAGGATTAAGACAGAGGAGGATAGTATGAGGCTACAAGATGACCTAAACAAACTGAAGGAATTGTCAAACAAATGGCTACTAAAGTTCAACCCAAGTAAGTGTAAGGTAATTAAATTAGGGGGAGGAAATATTAGGCTAGACACTTGATACTGAATGGGAGATGAAGTCCTTCACGAAACAATAAAGGAATAAATGGTGCCACATGGTACAGATGACGAGCAACCCTAAAACCCACGCGAAGTGAGAGCAGGTTCGGGAGGAATATCCACAGAACCACCGAACCTGCAAGGAATTTCCAAGGATTAAAGTTGAACCCAAGCAGAACCATCATGCCAGATCTAAAAATAAGCCAACACACCCTGGGCAACGCAGCTGTAAGGCTGACCTCGGCGCACTGACAGAAGTGCATGAACTACCAGTGCGCCCCGCCAGCCAAAGTTGCACCTGCCCCAGGAATGTTCTGAGATGCCAGACTTCACCCTGTGGTGGCCCTTGTGGTGGGCGTGGGCCACCACAAGCGAGGAGGACCTATAAGTGAGTGACTCCTAAACACTACAGAGAAGGTTACCCTGGCAATGTAAGGACAACATTAGGGAGCACACAGGGAGACTAACCCAGTACACACACAGGTCCAAGCATATTCAAAACTTGGCTCACTTGTTGTGTGCATGTCTGCAAAACCAAATGCTAATGCAACTAAGAAACTACTGAGGGGCCAGCCTAGAAAAGGTAAGTATCCCACCTGTGCAGATGATAAGATTTTGTTGCCCTGCGCTTCCATCTTGGGTAAGTCAGCAAAGGAGATGCCACCTCTGCCAACTCATCTACCTGCTGAACCAAAATAAAAAGCATAAGAGTTAACATCATTGGTTCCAAAAGCAACTGTTGAGAAAAAATGTGAAAACAGGAATTAAGTGTGGATAGTAGATTCAGATTCAGATTCAGATGTTTATTCAGGTAAGGTATATACATACAAGTGATGTTACATTAATGGATTGATATATAGATAGAGCTAGTACATACAATGCCTAAAGCCACTATTACGCAATGCGTTTCGGGCAAGAAAAACATTAATATCTAGAACTTAATACTAATTGAGCATAAAGAATAAAAGGTGTTGAGAACAAATACAAATAAAGATAAAAAAAAGGGGGAACATGACTGAAAAAGCAGCACAAATACAATAGGTTGACAAACAGTGTTGATTAAAAAAAAAAAAAAAAAAAAAAAATAACAGACATGGGTTGACAATAGAGGAGTGAGGTAGATTACAGGGAATTTATTAGGTAGTGTTTAGTTTTTATCTTAAACTGGTTGAGAGAGGTACAGTCTTTAACATGGTTGGGAAGGTCATTCCACATTCTGGGCCCCTTGATTTGCAGAGCATTTCTAGTTTGATTAAGACGTACTCTAGGAATATCAAAACTGTATTTATTTCTGGTGTGGTGCTCATGGGTTCTGTTACAACCTTCTATGAAGCTTTTAAGATCAGGATTGGCATTATAGTTTAGCGTTTTATATATGTATAATACACATGAGAGAATGTGCAGTGACTTAATATCTAACATATTAAGAGATTTGAGTAGGGGTACCGAGTGATGTCTGGGGCCAGAGTTGGATATTTTTCTAATAGCGGCTTTGTGTTGGGTAATTAGAGGACGTAAGTGATTTTGGGTAGTAGAACCCCAAGCACAAATACCATAGTTGAGATAAGGATAGATAAGGGAGTAATAGAGAGTCACCAGGGCAGGGCGTGGTACATAATATCTGATCTTAGAAAGAATGCCCACAGTTTTTGAAACTTTTTTTGATATATTTAGAATGTGTCCCTGGAAATTCAGCTTGTGGTCAATGAGAATGCCAAGGAATTTGCCATCTAATTTGTTACAAATTTGGGTATTGTTTATTTTGAGATTTATAAGACTAGAGGATTTATTGCCAAACAGAATATAGAAGGTTTTGTCAATGTTAAGGGTGAGTTTGTTGGCAGTTAGCCAAAGATGGACTTTATTTAGCTCAGTATTTACTGTGGCATTTAGAGCAAGAGGGTCAGGACTGGAGTAAATGAAGGTTGTGTCGTCAGCAAATAGAATTGGTTTGAGGTGTTGGGAGGCATTTGGAAGGTCATTAATGTAGATGAGAAAGAGGAGAGGGCCAAGTATGCTGCCCTGAGGAACACCAATGTTGATGGGTAGGGTGGGAGAAATTGTATTATTCACAGAAACATATTGGAGCCTGTCAGTAAGGTAGGACTCGAGGTATTGTAGGGAGTGTCCTCTGACTCCATAATGATGTAATTTAAGAAGAAGGTTATGGTGGTTGACAGTATCAAAAGCTTTACGCAGGTCCACAAATAACCCAACAGGGAACTCCTTTTTATCAAGAGCTGTATGAATCGAGTTAAGCATACTAATAAGTGCATCGTTAGTGCTTTTTTTGGGTCTGAAGCCATATTGGCAAGGGCTAAGTATATTGAGTTTGGCTAGATATGAGTAAAGCTGCTTGTATATAAGTTTTTCAAAAATTTTTGACAAGTTTGGCAGGATTGATATAGGTCTGTAGTTGTTAACATCTGTGGGGTCACCACATTTGTGGACAGGCGTTACTCTCGCTTTTTTTAGAATATCTGGAAAGGTTTGGAGTTCAAGTGACTTGTTGAAGAGCAAAGCAATAGCAGGGGCTAAAGATCTGGAGGCTTTTTTGTAAATTAAAGTTGGTATCTCCTCAAGGGCACCAGACTTGGTTTTAAGGGAAAGGATTATCTCATTGACGTCAGTGGAGTTAATAGGCTTTAGGTACAGAGACTGTGGATAGTTACCTGTAAGATAGTCCTTAATGTCAGTACTGGAAGATGGAATATCATTTGCAAGGGATGAACCAATGGAAGAGAAGAACCTATTGAACTCAATAGCAGAATCAGAGGCTGAAAGCTGACCATCGTTATTAGACAGGAGAGTCGGTTTGTTATTTAAAGATTTCTTTGATCCCAATATTTGTGAAATTGTGCTCCAAGTTTGTTTAATGTTGCTCTTTATTTGAGTAAATTTATCTTCGTAGTATTTAGTTTTGGCTCGTCTAATTATCTTAGATAGCAATAATGAGTAATTCTTTGAGAATTCTTTGGAGACAATTCCTAACCTATACTTCTTCTCAAGGTCGTGTTTTTTGTTAATGGATTTCAGTATTCCCTTTGTAAGCCAAGGATTGTTAAGCCTTTTGCTTGTGACTTGTTTTGTAAGCCTAGGACAGTGGGTGTTATAAAGGCTAAGAGTTGTTTGTAGAAAAGATTGCACTGCTAGGTTGATGTCCCCTATGTTACCTAACTCGGACTCCCAGTTGACATTATCAGCAGCAGTTATAAAATTGTTTATAGCAGTTTCATTGTGCAGCCTAAATCTTAACTCCCTTGTTTCTAGAGGTGGTTTGCTAATGTTAGTTAAGAGAAATGTGGGGTAGTGGTCTGTAGTGCTATCGGTGATTATACCTGAAGTAAGCGGAGAGGTTATGTTGGTCCAGATGTGATCTAGAGTCGTGGCAGTGCTATCAGTGATTCTAGTAGGTCTAGTGATTAAGGGTATGAGGAGGCAGGAATTCATACAGTTGAGGAAGCTAACAGCAGTAGGGTGTTCTGGCTCGCAGAGGTCAATATTAAAGTCCCCTGCGATAATTAGGTGGTTTTTGTTCAGTCTGTTATCAAGTATTAGATTTCTAAGGTTTGAGTTGAATACAGACACATCAGTGTTGGGAATTCTATAGACTGCACCCACAGACAGGACAGACTCGGCACCCTTGACTCTGAAGCTGGCGAAGATATACTCCCCATAGCAGTCTCTAGTTCTAATTTCTTTTAAGCATGTTAGTTCATGGTGGTAGTAAAGAGCAGTGCCACCACCTCTCTGAAGTTGACGACAGTTGTGAATTGCTGAGTAGTTAGGCATGTTAAAGAGTTGAGTAGTATCCTCTTTCAACCATGTTTCAGTAAGTATAATAAAAGAGAAGAGAAGAGTACTATACTTTGCTCCTGTGACCTATTATAGGCACTGCAAAATGAGATGGGTGTGGGGGGTGCAGAATAAATGAACAAAATCAAATCGTCACCTCCTAAAGTAATGCTTACTTTTACCAATTACATTATTTCTCATTTTTTGGTTACCCATTCTATTTCTTACCCCTTTTTACTTTTATTGCTGTACCCATTTACAGCCTTCCTTTATAGTTCTCATTATTATTCTTTTACTTTTGTTTACACTGGTTAATGGTCATCAGTAGAGTATTATTCAATTATCACTCCTTATCCTTTATGAAGGTAGTTACCCACTTGTTTAATTAACATGTAATAAATTACTGTATCATTTACCTGCCTTCCATTGAGCCCAGAAATAAATTATGTTTGTTGTGGTACAAAAAAAAATAAGGTGTATGTTTTTTTTAACATTCCTGATAAGCAATTTGTCGAGGCCAAATTTTCGGGTAACTCAAAGGGAGGTTGGGCCTCACATGAATTGGAATAGAGTGAAGACAGTATTGAGTCCCAAAATACACTCCAGCAGTCACACTGCAGGAGTGTGTTTTGCATATGCCATCAAGATGGTGACTATAAACTTTATTCACCAACCCAGAGTTTACAGAATGCATGACATTAACATCTCCTGGGGGTCAGAGTGTGTGACCTCCCAGGGATCAGTGTGTGTGTGTGTGACCTCCCAGGGATCAGTGTGTGTGTGTGTGTGTGACCTCCCGGGGGTCAGAGTGTGTGACCTCCCAGGGATCAGTGTGTGTGTGTGTGTGACCTCCCGGGGGTCAGAGTGTGTGACCTCCCAGGGATCAGTGTGTGTGTGTGTGTGACCTCCCGGGGGTCAGAGTGTGTGACCTCCCGGGGGTCAGAGTGTGTGACCTCCCGGGGGTCAGAGTGTGTGACCTCCCGGGAGTCAGAGTGTGTGTGTGTGTGTGAATAATTATCCAGCGCATGTTCCCACAGGTGTAGCCAGAGGTCAACTGGCTGGCAACTGGCAACTCCAAGCATGTCAACTATCAATACTTCGGCCACAAGCTAACGTTTTCCCCCGATAGACAATGTATAGTCGAGATAATTATTGTTTTTAGTTTTACCCACAAGGTAATGCCAGGCCATATGCGGCCTTTAAATTAACAACAACATTGAAGACCTCAGCTGCTGAACCAAAACAGTGCGGCTCTGAAACTTTACTCAAAGCGCTACGATACAAAGTTATAATAACAATAGTAGACACACGGTAGAGCTACACTTACTGTTGTGTAAGTGTGTGTTTCAGTGTTGTGGTTGTAATTGTTGTAGTTAGCGTGTGTGTAGTGAGAGGTCCATTTCAGCGCCGCCAGCAGACGCCTCTCTCACGCCCGTCATAACAATCTCTTGAAACACTATAGTCCTTCCTCCATCATACTCAACATATAATTATAAGACGTCCAGCAGAAGCAGTCTGATCTGTATTTAAAGTTTTATTACAATTTTGTCAACGATAAATTGTTGATAATTGAATCTCAATTAAAGTGTAATATGAGAGAAACCAAAATCAGTGGAGCATCTCTCAAACGTCACTGGGAGTGGGTCCGGGATGCTTATTAAAGCAGTATTATTATAAAAATAATACTACTAATAATAATCAAAATAATAATAATGAGAGAAAGAAGACAATAAGAAGAGTGAATGAATGAATTAAGCAATATTCCCATAACGTCAGCACAAAATACACAAATGATCAAGAGAAAGCGCCAAGCCATTACGTCTATAGTTTAGTTCATTTATTATGCACCCCATACCTATCTTGTGGGCGGTAGTGGAAAGGGTTACAGAGGCTAAAGCACTAATAATTCATTGTGTCGGGGGACAGGAAGCCAGGGTGTATTCATACACGTTTGGCTTTTATCGAGGTCCCCTCCCCCTTCCAAGGCCGAATTACTGACCCCGCCCAGGATGCCACCCCACAACAAGCTAACTAAACTCCTGAGTACCTACTTACTGCTAGGTGAACAGATGCATTAGGTGAAAGGAAATGTGCCCAATCATTTCGCCCGGGATTCTAACCCGGAATACTCGAGTGTGCGATTGACCCACTTGGAAGGGGTCAGGATAAGGATTTGTGATGGGACGGGGGGGAAAAGTATGGTGCCCAACCACTTGGACGGTCGGGGATTGAACGCCGACCTGCATGAAGCGAGACCGTTGCTCTACCGTCCAGCCCAAGTGGTAACCGGATACTCAAAGGACTTCCAATAGCTGTAGTATACATGAACTTTGCTAAAGCTTAAGATACAATACCGTATGAAAGGCTGACAAGGAAAGTACAAGCACATGGAATAAAGGGTAGAATAATAGAAGGGATAAAACAATGGTTAAAACAATGGATAAAATAATGGTTAAAACAATGGATACCAATGGTTAAAACAATGGATACCAATGGTTAAAACATAGTAAACAGAGTGTGGTTCTAAACGAAAACGAATCTGACTGGAGAAATGTGGTGAGTGAGGTACCGCAAGGTTCCATCTTGGGCGCCAACCCTTTATTGGCATATATACGTCATGCAGTGATATACATGAAAAAATTCACAGAGAAATCACATTAAAGTGATATATCAATGAACAAATGCACAGAATGCAGGCGAGGAGTCACAATAACGTGGCTGAAGTATGTTGACCAGACCACACACTAGAAAGTGGTCTTCAGTCTTCGTGGTGTAGTGGTAAGACACTCGCCTGGCGTTCCGCGAGCGCTATGTCATGGGTTCGTATCCTGGCCGGGGAGGATTTACAGGGCACAATTCCTTAACTGTAGCCTCTGTTTAATGCAACAGTAAAATGTGTACTTGGATGAAAAAACGATTCTTCGCGGCGGGGATCGTATTCCAGGGACCTGCCCGAAACGCTACGCGTACTAGTGGCTGTACAAGAATGTAACAACTCTTGTATATATCTCAAAAAAAAAAAAAAGTGAAGGGACGACGACGTTTCGACTTGAGAATGATCCAAGACGGACCGAAACGTCGTCGTCCCTTCACCTTCTAGTGTGTGGTCTGGTCAACAAATGCACAGAAGCCTTGATAAAGGTTCGAACCTATGTACTGGGTGTTCCCAGACGCGCTCTAGTCAAATTCAAGTTCAAGAATGTTTATTGAGGCAAGAAAAATACCTCTCAAAGGGATAGAGTAGCTTAGGCTCTTTCTACCCCCCCCCAGATCACGCTCTAGTAGACTGCGCCGCGACATAGTAAAAGAGGTAGTCCCTCTGTCATAGCAACACCCCCTGTGTCACAACAACACTCCCTGTGTCACAGCAACACTCCCTGTGTCACAGCAACACTCCCTGTGTCACAGCAACACTCCCTGTGTCACAGCAACACTCCCTGTGTCACAGCAACACTCCCTGTGTCACAGCAACACTCCCTGTGTCACAGCAACACTCCCTGTGTCATAGCAACACTCCCTGTGTCACAGCAACACTCCTTGTGTCACAGCAACACTCCCCGTGTCACAGCAACACTCCCCGTGTCACAGCAATAGGAAGGAAGGAAGTAGCAGCAGCTCCCGGTGTCTAAATCTGGATGTGGGGCAGCTTGAGCGCATATTAGTAAAAGACATAACAATGTGTGTACAGAATCGCCTCTCACCTGAGGCGAGAGGCGACGTAATAGTCTTTCTCAATGAAACGGATGTGGCCTGAGGTGGGTCGCTGGAGGTGGGTCGCTGGAGGTGGGTCGCTGGAGGTGGGTCGCTGGAGGTGGGTCCCTGGAGGTGGGTCGCTGGAGGTGGGTCCCTGGAGGTGGGTCGCTGGAGGTGGGTCGCTGGAGGTGGGTCGCTGGAGGTGGGTCGCTGGAGGTGGGTCACTGGAGGTGGGTCCCTGGAGGTGGGTCGCTGGAGGTGGGTCCCTGGAGGTGGGTCGCTGGAGGTGGGTCCCTGGAGGTGGGTCGCTGGAGGTGGGTCGCTGGAGGTGGGTCGCTGGAGGTGGGTCGCTGGAGGTGGGTCACTGGAGGTGGGTCCCTGGAGGTGGGTCGCTGGAGGTGGGTCCCTGGAGGTGGGTCGCTGGAGGTGGGACGCTGGAGGTGGGTCGCTGGAGGTGGGTCGCTGGAGGTGGGTCGCTGGAGGTGGGTCGCTGGAGGTGGGTCCCTGGAGGTGGGTCGCTGGAGGTGGGTCGCTGGAGGTGGGTCGCTGGAGGTGGGTCGCTGGAGGTGGGTCGCTGGAGGTGGGTCGCTGGAGGTGGGTCGCTGGAGGTGGGTCGCTAATGGTGGTAGCCCCCATGCTATCAGTTGCTCACTAACACCAATTTTGTTATTAATTTTTATTAATTTTTAGTTTTATTTAATTCCTGCACACCGCCCCCTCCCCATCCAGTGAGCAGCGGTGGATAGGTTACAATCACTCATTTACTACCTACAGTTAGCAAACTGGGGATATTTGGCTAAGACTTCTAGCAGCAGATAATTGTTAATGAAATATTTACACATATCTTGAACATTTGTTATAGAATTGTCTCTGAATTCACGTATCTCTTTGCACTTCATCACATAGTGACGGAGGGTGTGCGAATAATTTTGTTGACACAGTTTACATTGGGTCTCTACCCTTCAGACTGAACTATTTGCCTCGCTTCTTGCACTGAAATGTGTACAAGTCTCCAAACTTGATACATTAATTGTGACTCTTTATCATTCTTAATGACTCTCAACTCTTTAAGACATAACTGTAACGTGCTCGTGTCTGAGGCTAGACACAAATACAACAAAATTATTAATGATGGTAATATAGTCCATTTCATCTACTCATCTAATTGTACTCACCTTATTGTGCTTGCGGGGGTTGAGCTCTGGCTCTTTGGTCCCGCCTCTCAACCGTCAATCAACAGGTGTACAGGTTCCTGAGCCTATTGGGCTCTATCATATCTACACTTGAAACTGTGTATGGAGTCAGCCTCCACCACATCACTTCCTAATGCATTCCATTTGTCAACCACTCTGACACTAAAAAAGTTCTTTCTAATATCTCTGTGGCTCATTTGGGCACTCAGTTTCCATCTGTGTCCCCTAGTGCGTGTGCCCCTTGTGTTAAACAGCCTGTCTTTATCAACCCCGTCGATTCCCTTGAGAATCTTGAATGTGGTGATCATGTCCCCCCTAACTCTTCTGTCTTCCAACGAAGTGAGGTTTAATTCCCATAGTCTCTCCTCGTAGCTCATACCTCTCAGCTCGGGTACTAGTCTGGTGGCAAACCTTTGAATCTTTTCCAGTTTAGTCTTATGCTTGACTAGATATGGACTCCATGCTGGAGCCGCATACTCCAGGATTGGTCTGACATATGTGGTATATAATGTTCTGAAAGATTCCTTACACAAGTTTCTAAAGGCCGTTCTTATGTTAGCCAACCTGGCATATGCTGCTGATGTTATCCTCTTGATATGAGCTTCAGGGGACAGGTCTGGCGTGATATCAACTTTCTGTGTGTGTGTGTGTGTGTGTGTGTATGTGTGTGTGTGTGTGTGTGTGTGTGTGTGTGTGTGTGTGTGTGTGTGTGTGTGTGTGTGTGTGTGTGTGTGTGTGTGTGTGTGTGTGTGTGTGTGTGTGTATTTCTACTTGTATTTACTATTTGTACCTGCAAGATCGAACTGTTAGCTCTTGGACCCCGCCTTTCTAACTGTTGATTGCGTAATATACTTACTCCCGACCTATTTTCCCGCTGTCATATCTACTAGATATGTGTCTCCCGCAGACACGCACACATATCCCCAGGATACAATGCACAAAAACCTGTCTGACTCCAAGATACAGTACCTATTTACTTTTAGATGAACAGGCGCATCAGGTGAAATAAACTTTACCCATTTGTTTCTGCCTCGACCGGGAACGGAGCCCGGCCGCCCCCCGTTGATAAGGACTTGGACTCCAGAACGCTATCCACTCGGCCACGAGGACCTGTACCTTTGTAGGTGTGGTACACAAATGTACACTTTGGGAGTTACCCCTGTGGTAATTTGTGTCTTTGGAGGAGGGTGGGGGTCGGGGTGGTGCGTGGAGAGGGGGGTTTAAGGAGGGGGAGGTCATGGGGGGGTGTTGAGAGGGGGGCAAAGGGGAGGTTGAGAGTATATAAGAGTGATCGCTGTGGTCGTCTGTTAGTTCCTCTGGGTAGTGTGGCCGCCATGCTGCTCTTACTGACCAAGGTGGTGAGGGCTCCTGCCGGAAGTGTTTGTTGTGTCTGGTGGTCTTGATATTACAGTATATGTAGAAATGTCATAGAGGAGGAGGGGTTACCCGACCGCGTCCGGGTCTCTCTCACTCTCTCTCTCTCTCTCTCCCTCCTTCCCTCCTCTCTCTTTCCTTTTCCTTTATCTCTCCTCTCCTCCCCTTTCTCCTTCCCTCTTCCCCGTTTTCTCTCTCTCATATATATAACGACGGAGTAACTTCACACAGTTGGCAGGGGACTCAGTCCCGCTCCTGTGCCAGGTAAGTCCACTACGGGCTCACCATAGCCCGTGCTACTTGCAAGTTTTTGTTCAGTCGCTGAATCTAAAAAACATTCACACTCTACGGACGCCACATTCCAGATTTCATCCCAGAAACATTTCAGACCTCATGACAATCGCTCGGGGATGTCGGGTTACACGCCATGTTTCTTAAAGCATTTAACCTAGGCCTACCCTGTCTAGCCTATGTCCGTCGCGTACCACACACCATTCACCCTACAAATTTGGGCGAGGCTAGCCCCAAGCATCTGGCCTCCAACTGGAGAATCCCGTGGGCGGTGGTGTAAAGGATTACAGATTTTCCTGAAATATTATATTTGTCAAAATTTCTTTATTTTGGAATGAGAAAGCTTTCCATTACATTATTTATGATTTTTTTTCTAGTCTAACATAGAAGTTCGATCAGTACAACCCTGCCTAACTGTTAACATAACCCAACTTAATTAAGTCACCTAATATAGTGTATTAATAATGTTAGGAAAGAGCCAATTTGGAAAGAAATGTTTGTAAATAGCGAAAATCGCTCTGCGTGTTACGTTAGGTAAGTCCTGTTATGTTAGGTAAGTCCTGTTATGTTAGGTAAGTCCTGTTATGTTAGGTAAGTCCTGTTATGTTAGGTAAGTCCTGTTACACTAGGTAAGTCATGTTACACTAAGTCATATCACACGCACTAAGTCATGCTACAATTGCTAAGCCTTATTATGCTTCCTAAGTCACGTTACACTCACCTAACTTTATCATGGTGACTTGGTGAGATCGTGTTTGCTTGTGTTCAGGCTTCCCGTTGTCGGGGACAGGAAGCCTTCTTTGGCTTATAGCTAGGTCCTTCTGGGCAAACGACTGACCTTTCCGAAGGATGCAACACCCACAACAGTTGCCTGGCTCCAGGCTATACCTATCTACTGCTAGGTGACCAGGTGCATCAGGTAAAAGGAAACATTCCCGGGGACTATATTTCGCCGCGAGCCGACTGCACTACACAAGTAAGTTATGTCTAGTTAAATGTGTTCACTTAGTTATGTCATGTTCACGAATCAACTTAATTGTGTCCAGTTAGTCTGGAACAGTTTTCAAGTTAGGGTCAGAATGATATCATTCACCTGCAGTGAACAGTCTCACGGTTGATTACTGCTGGAAATTGAATTGAAACTGAAATAAGTTTATTGAGGTAAAATACACATAAAGGGATGAGGCAGCTCAAGCTATTCTCATCCCGTTCAGTACATCGTGTTAATACATACATAGACACACATCACAAACAATAAACGTATTACCAAACATTCTGAGAGATAAACATATACGAGTCAACAAACACACACACTTAGGTATGAACAACATTGGCCGAAATGTTGCGTTGCAATCATCGGACACAATTGGGAGCGCTGCGGAACTCTTCACTATGACCACCCAGCCACTCAGAACATGTCTCAACAACGCTCATTGCTTATGTATTACGAAAATGTATAGCCGCAAGGTTTAAGGCCGTTGGCTGCGGCGGCGGCGGTGTGTTGCGATGGTGGCGTAATGGTTGGCTGTGTCGCCGGCAGGTGGCAGGCGGGTGTAGTCCACACGCACCTCGAAGGTAAACAATAAACTATAATATAAACAAAGTCCATCGAATTAATATTGTCAGTCGTTCGCTGTTTCCGTCGTATCACATAGTCGGGGACAGGATGCCAGGTACGGTTATCGAGACCCCCTCCGCGGCTAACAGGAATACGCTGAGAACTCTAATTGACTCGGCTAGGATTCGAACCCATGCCCGTCCAGGATTGCCCCTAAACGTACACCACAACAAGCTGACTAACTCCTGGGTACCTATTTACTTCTAGGTGAACAGGTGTATTAGATGATAGGAAACGCGTTCAATCATTTCTATCCCGCCCAGGGATGGCCTGTGCCCCCCCCTCCTCCTCAGATTACACGCTGAAGGCATAATGAATGACAGCGGTGGACAGTATTTTGTCTGTTACCTGGGATGACAACACTGTCTCACCTTCAGGTAAACTGTTACCTGTAGATAAACTGTTTTTCTTCCCTGAAATTACTTTCCTTTTGTGCAATATTAACGCAACCCAGTGTTAATTATCACAGCTGGTGTTGCACCTTCCCTCCCCTGGGGGTCGTCTGGGGGAGCTGGTGACTCGTGCAATATATTCATGTTGCTCCAGCGGTCAAATCTAATTACAGCTCGTGAGTTGTGTAGTGATGCAACCGCCGGGGGGCCCCAACCCCCTGCAGCCAGCGTGGCCTGCCTCCCTAGTCCTCTCCCCACCCCCCTCACACAGCTGACACACACCTCCAACACAAGAGTAGAGATACGGCGGAGACGGTGATGGGTGTCAGGAGTTGAGTCAACTGAGCATCTTCAAGACCACTGCCCCTGACTGGCGGTACAGCCAATCTGACACACACACACACACTGCTGATCTGTGTTGCAGGTGGTGGCTGTGGCTGCCGTGGCTGCTGTACCGTCTGCAGAAGGCGGCGCCAGGGCAGGTCACACCGAGGGACAAGAGGCTACGAGAGACACCGCGCCTCCTCCATCGTACCACAAGCATGAGGAGTTCGAGGCCCACGATATTCCCTTGTTGAACATGGTGAGTTGGTTACGGGGACATCCGGAGGAACTGTGTTCTCAGATACGGCTTGACGCTCAGACAAATGGTTGTATTTTCCTGGTCTGTGTTACTTTTGTCTCCCGGTCCAAGTGTCTGGCGGCAGCTGCTTGGATTTTACGGGCTCTCAGTCAGGTGTATCACAGTATGAAGGGCTCTCAGTCAGGTGTATCACAGTATGAAGGGCTCTCAGTCAGGTGTATCACAGTATGAAGGGCTCTCAGTCAGGTGTATCACAGTATGAAGGGCTCTCAGTCAGGTGTATCACAGTATGAAGGGCTCTCAGTCAGGTGTATCACAGTATGAAGGGCTCTCAGTCAGGTGTATCACAGTATGAAGGGCTCTCAGTCAGGTGTATCACAGTATGAAGGGCTCTCAGTCAGGTGTATCACAGTATGAAGGGCTCTCAGTCAGGTGTATCACAGTATGAAGGGCTCTCAGTCAGGTGTATCACAGTATGAAGGGCTCTCAGTCAGGTGTATCACAGTATGAAGGGCTCTCAGTCAGGTGTATCACAGTATGAAGGGCTCTCAGTCAGGTGTATCACAGTATGGAGGGCTCTCAGTCAGGTGTATCACAGTATGAAGGGCTCTCAGTCAGGTGTATCACAGTATGAAGGGCTCTCAGTCAGGTGTATCACAGTATGAAGGGCTCTCAGTCAGGTGTATCACAGTATGAAGGGCTCTCAGTCAGGTGTATCACAGTATGAAGGGCTCTCAGTCAGGTGTATCACAGTATGAAGGGCTCTCAGTCAGGTGTATCACAGTATGAAGGGCTCTCAGTCAGGTGTATCACAGTATGAAGGGCTCTCAGTCAGGTGTATCACAGTATGAAGGGCTGGTAAGGGGAATCATGTTCGAGCCACGGTTAACGGGTCAATTATATTAACAAACAAAACAATAATTATTGGGTGAATATATTTCGTATAACATATATCTTTCATGATGAATGTTACTCAATCTCAAATATGTGTTTCATCTGATATTCATGTGCACAAAGACTCACATATTTCCTACAGAGGGGTTGTATGCTATCTGGAGGCAGGTTTTATTATTTGCTGTAGTTGACAATAGATTTGAGGTAGTAAGGTGCGTGTCTGGAAGTACCCAGACCAGCCTATGTCCGCCCATACTTCAGATCATGCCCCCCTTGCAAAGTTGGGTGAGGCTAGCCCTAAAAACCTGGCCTGTACCCTTGGACAGATAGACAGACATTCTCTCTTACAGATACAGATTGATGTATGTGACAAAAAGGGTTGGCTCCAATTTGGAACCTTGCGGTACCCCCACTCACCACATTTCTTCATACAGATTCATTTCCATTTAGGACGACCCCCTTTGTTTTTGTTTGTTTAACCATTGTTTTATCCATTCTAGTACTTTACCATTTATTCCATGTGCTTGTCATTTCCTTACCAATCTTTCATGTCGCATCGTATCAAAAGCTTTAAAAGAAGTCCAAGCATATCTCCTTCGTAAAATTTTCGTAACAAGCTTCCACGGCTTGAACGCCTACTAAACATATATACCGCATATTCAGTCAAATCCGTTACTTCGCCTTGATAAAACTTACATTTCCTGTTGCATTAACAGAAACATGTGAGCTACGACTTCGCGTACAGCGTCCGCGACGACGACACCGGAGCCGCCTACAGTCACGAAGAGGAGCGGTCAGGATCCGTCACCCGCGGAGAGTACCGGGTCTCCCTTCCCGACGGACGCGTCCAGATCGTCTCCTATGTCGCCGATGAGAACGGCTACCGAGCTAAAGTGTCGTACGAACCCTCAAAGACCGCCTTTCCAGTCGCCAATCCAGAACTTAAGTACGCACCGAAGTCCTCCAGCGTCCGTCGCCCCGGCCCGCGATCTGGACCTGGAACAAGACGGCGGCGCCCACGACCTCGTCAACGGCCCGTCACGCCTCGCCCGCAGCCTCAGACTCCCTACCATAGCCTTCCAACAGAGCATTCCTATCTTCCCAAACCAACAGAGCATTCCTATCTTCCCAAACCAACAGAGCATTCCTATCTTCCCAAACCAACAGAGCATTCCTATCTTCCCAAACCAACAGAGCATTCCTATCTTCCCAAATCAACAGAAAATTCGTATCTTCCCAAACCAACAGAGCATTCCTATCTTCCCAAATCAACAGAAAATTCGTATCTTCCCAAACCAACAGAGGGTTCCTATCTTCCCAAGCCAACAGAGCATTCCTATCTTCCCAAGTCAACAGAAAATTCGTATCTTCCCAAACCAACAGAGGGTTCCTATCTTCCCAAACCAACAGAGGGTTTCTATCTACCCAAACCAACAGAGGGTTCTTATCTTCCGAAACCAACAGAGCATTTGTATCTTCCCAAACCAACAGAAAATTCCGATCTTCCAAAACCAACAGAGGGTTCCTATCTACCCAAACCAACGGGTGGTTCCTATCTACCTAAACCAACAAAGGGTTCCTATCTACCCAAACCAACAGAGCATTCCTATCTACCCAAACCAACAGAGGGTTCCTATCTACCCAAACCAACAGAGCATTCCTATTTACCTAAACCAAAAGAGGGTTCCTATCTACCCAAACCAACAGAGGGTTCCTATCTACCCAAACCAACAGAGCATTCCTATCTACCCAAACCAACAGAGGGCTCCTATCTACCAAAACCAACAGAGGGTTCCTATCTGCCCAAACCAACAGAGCATTCCTATCTACCCAAACCAACAGAGGGCTCCTATCTACCAAAACCAACAGAGGGTTCCTATCTACCCAAACCAACAGAGCATTCCTATCTACCCAAACCAACAGAGGGTTCCTATCTGCCCAAACCAACAGAGGGTTCATATCTGCCCAAACCAACAGAGGGTTCCTATCTGCCCAAGCCAACAGAGGGTTCCTATCTGCCCAAACCAACAGAGGGTTCATATCTACCCAAACCAACAGAGGGTTCCTATCTGCCCAAACCAACAGAGGGTTCATATCTGCCCAAACCAACAGAGGGTTCCTATCTGCCCAAACCAACAGAGGGTTCATATCTACCCAAACCAACAGAGGGTTCCTATCTGCCCAAACCAACAGAGGGTTCATATCTGCCCAAACCAACAGAGGGTTCCTATCTACCCAAACCAACAGAGCATTCCTATCTACCCAAACCAACAGAGGGCTCCTATCTACCAAAACCAACAGAGGGCTCCTATCTGCCCAAACAAACAGAGGGTTCCTATCTACCCCCAACAGCTGCACATTCGCCCACACCTCCGCCACACTCTCCAACACCCGGTTATCAACAAAAGAAAATTTCTGACATTACGACCTACAAGCCGCTGGGCGCCACCTCGGCCCAGCCAGCGGCCGCGCCAACAGCAACACCTCCAGGGTACAAAGCCCCTAAAACAATACCTCCCTTGAAGCTTCCCGAGGTAACCAGCTACAAACCAAAGTCCCACACAGCGTCCACTCGCCAGGGAGCTGACGACGCAGCGCCACCTGGTGCCGCGTATTCTCCTGGGGAATACGAAGAACACTCAACATCGGAGACATCTGCTATCTATTTCCCCACAGTCGCCTCGGTATTGGCGGCCCCCTTGCCTCATAGGCCCACGCAACGCCCGCCTTCATCTCCTTATTACCCTACTTCCTACCCTTCCCCTGGATCATACCCATCCCCAGCACCGCACACTCCGTCGCTCCACCGTCCCACAAGCCCGTACAACTCTTCGCCCTATCCCTCTTCCTCACCCTATACACCGGCACTATATCAAGGGCCGCCTCCCATTCCTTACTCAGCACAAGGGGCACCGCCTTATGGAGGTCCTTCACCTCGACCTTATAACGCACATCTACCTCCCTATTTTGGTCCCCAGTACGGTCCTCGTTTCCCAGGACCTTCTTTCCCTCCGAGGATCAAAGGCTACCCCACTACTTCAGGGACTCCCCCCCAGCCAAGTCTTGTGTCCATCGATACGCCCTCGGAGTAACCCAACCATACTTAGTGCCCACTGTTAAGTCAGCCTCTTCTTAGTGGGGTGGAGCTACAGGCCTCCAGCGACCATACCCAAAGGATGCAGCTTGACCCAGGTCAAGCGACGAAGAATGGGCCCAGCTCAACGGAGGGAAATACACTTAACTCAGGAGAAATTCAACTCAGCCGAAGAGGAAATAGGCCCATTCCACAATGTGGAGTGAGGTCAACGATAGGTGGGGGTACTGCTCGCCTGTAAGATGGTATCTAGTCTGTTATTCTGTACCTTATGTTCTTGCTGTGTGTGTATTTTGTACTTTAAATCTGTGTAAAATAAAGATGATTTATATTTTAGTGACTGGAAGCGTAGGTCCTTACCCATCATTTGTGTCCTGTTTAAGGTTGAGAATGTATGTTTTTTTATAACTGTTTGTAACTTATCTCTATATTTTATTTTATACTATACTATATTTTAGATTTCCAAAATATATATTTTAAATTTTGTATATAAGATACTGAACACTTGAGAGCCAAGCACGTCAAACAACAGCAGACCACTGGATCTAAACGAGGCTTTTTACTTATAGAAGCTATGCCAAACCCTGCTGTGTACAGGTTAGCAAACTAACTTCCATAGCGAGAGGAACGAGGCTCGATTCACACTCATAGATTTCTCGCTCCGTTCTCGCGGGTGTAACACAGCAGGAGGTGGGGACCTGGGGAGATATCAAGTAATTATAGTAAAAAGGGAACCAATACGGAGGACTGTGAAGAGTAATTGATACACAGAGGGAGGATATGGATATACATACAGGGAGGATACGTATGTATATATATATATATATATATATATATATACATACAGGGAAGATACGGATATACACACAGGGAGAATATGGATATATACATAGGGAGAATACACATATATATACACACAGGGAGAATACGGATATATATACACACAGGGAGGACTCCCAGCACTGTGAGGGGGCAACTGTTCCAGGAAAAAAAATATAAAAACATTTTCTTATCTTGAATTTGGTGTATTTGCTGTAAATGTTGGACGTGAATGAAGCAAGTCTCGAGTCGTAGCTTTGAACTTACTCGAGTTGATGCAGCTACAATAATTAACTAGCATCATACAGTATACATGTTTCAGATTTACTCAAACACAAATAAGTTCTACCGACTGGCCTCGAACCTAAGTTCCATCAGCTATGCATATTTTTTTAATTACACAACGTACACCACGGTGGAGGATGGTGCTCATGAAACACCAACCGAAGCTTCGCCCGCTACTTGATTCCCACAGTTTCTGTGATTCGAACCCGGGAAGCAACAGCCCGTCCTCCAAACAAAGATCCAAAAGTGATTCCATGCACCCGCCAAACCCCCTGTTTATGAATGAAAAGCGGTTTACACACGACTCACAACTGCTGACGTTCGAACATATCCGGAACAAGTGCTTCACTGACGAATTTTGTTCGAACCACAACGCTGTAAATGCTTCACCCACGTACTACAAATACAAATAATCGCCAACAGAACCTAAACACCTAACCTAACCAGTGCCTAAATATGCACAATATGCTAATATATAATAATATTAATTTATATTTGAGAAAATTCCTGTTTTGAATGAATAGCATGTTAAAATTTATGAATGCGTCTTTGGGGGGTCGATCGCTTGATGGAATGGACTTGGTCTGAGGTCAAGTTTCAGCGCACAGTCCACTGTGAGTAGCTCAGGAGACTGGTGCTCAGTTCGCTATACATAGTCTAGCTAGACACTAACAAATGCAGTAATAATTATATTACATCACTATCGCATTGCAGCGAGGTACATGGGCATGAAAGTCGTGGTAGGCGGTGCAGGCAGACAGTAATTGTATCTCATCAACACTGAGCACGCTGGTCTGGGCCGCAGGTACTGGACCCACTGACGCCACCACCACAGTTCAACAGCCGGGAGTACTGGGAAGGCTGCGCGGAGGTACACAACGCTATCCGGTAATTATACAACATTCGTATTAGTTGTTATAGGCGTACAGGACAAATTTTATGTATTTTTAAAGTTCTGATCTTGACTGGAAAGTATTAATCTGTAAGACGTGACACGGGTGGAGAACACGCACTTCGGCTGGCTTAAGTAAGACTTATTGCCTGGAATCATCTTAAAAGAACATTTGGTCAGTTTAATTAATGCAAGGACTGATGAACACATATTTAAGTCTGTTATGCCTTTCCTTGTTTAAGTCCTCGGCTCTCGACCAAAGGACCCGCGTTCAATTCACGCGGCAGGCCACCTCTTCCTTTAACCCGATGTCTCGGTTCACCTGGCATTGAATAAGTACCCCCTGGGGCTAGAAGACTATTGTGGATTGCATCTTCGGGAAAATCTGTAGTTGGGGGGGGGCCCCCCCCCCCGGGGGGGAAGAGACCTCTTTAAAAAGTCAAAATACAGGCTTCTTGCGCTACGTTAATTTGAATTAATTTTCTCCTTTTGTATATGACTTCAAACAATATGGTACTGGAGAGCACTTGAATCGTCCTCAGTCCCCGAATGCTGCTGCTGGTAGTTATCCGTTGTACCTACGGTACCACAACGAGGATTTTGCGATCTTTCGGAACAATTTAGGAAATACTTATTCTTTCGTGATTTGGTTACAGGGGCGTGACCCCTTCATCTTTACGTCTCTGCTGACCTGAGGCAGACGACTTTAGTCTACAACGATCTTCAGAGACACCGTCATCTCTAATTTTGTTACAGAAATTTTAGATTTAAACCCTCTCTCCCCCACCCTGATTGTTGTACCTAAAACATGCTCCGCTTTCCCAAGCTATTACTTTCTATTCAAAGTCGGTTTAAATGTTCTAAAATTGCAGTACTGTAGCGTGAGCTTTGAAAATAATCTGCAGCGAAGTGGTAAAGTTCCCCAAAACACTTCTCGACTAAACGATCACTTGGGTGTTTCTTAAAGTTCGTGGACATGCTACTGATGGCTGGTCAAAAGTTCTTGGTATTGTCTGAAATACGAATGTTTTCAAACGTGGTTAATAAATATAAAACTTAAGGGTGTTGAAACCGTCAAATGATCTGTTAACTGGTTCAAATTGGATAGTTCTGTTCTGGTTTTTGATCAGACTGATGCAATCTCTGCTCTAAACTGCTAGATTTGACGTCTAATAAAGTACCGGTGAAGTAAACTTGCAATATTTAATTTCTCTACAATCCCCTCGTAACGATACTAATTTTCCACCATTAAGACATCTCTTGGCCTATCTGATTCAGTCTAGCTCTGGTAATGGGACACGAAGTCGGTGGTGGTTTGTAAAAATTTTCAGAATTGGAGGGTTAACCAAACTGTACTTCGTAGGTGTGACCATGGAGCAGACGTTAAGGGAGACTCCTGATCATCAGAGGGATGCAATGAGGGACGCCCCCTCTCGAACGCCACCTTCGGTCCCTGGTTGTGGAGCCTCGCCGGTCCCTGTCTGCGGGGCCTCGGCGGTCCCTGGCTGCGGGGCCTCCTGCACCACCAAACTCACTCCCTCGCCTACGAAAGGAAAAAGTTCACGTTCCATGTGGGCATCGCCTGCAGTCTCCTGCCACAGCAACAAGAGCAGCATGGGACCCATGTGCCGCATCTGCCACGAAGGTAACAACGGCGCCAGGTTGATCTTTATTTTGTTAATTGTATGAATTTTCTGCTGTAACTACAGGGAGACATGTAGAGTTGATTCCTGCATCTCGTCACCTTTAGGGCCCAAAATCTCTGGTTGGGTTTGTTCCCCTGACGGCACTGTACACCTGATTTCACTAGTGCTTTGGCTGCTGAATAACTGCACGTTTATGGTGACATTAAACACTGTCGTGTAACTTTGAGACCCTTTACTTTTAGATAGGACAAAGTTAGAATAAAGTTTCCGCAATGTGTAAAAAAAAAAAAGTTCCACACCCTTATTGAGTAGATTTTGTATTTAAGACTTTAAATGACAGAACTCTTAGCATTGTTTTAAACTCATTTTATTGTAATGTTAAATTACCACAGTTGCTCATCTCCCTGACTTGCTTACCCTAAAGTCTTGCTCATAAAGAGAAGTCTTGAAGGGTGGGTGTGCGAGGCCGGGCCATCCCATCCCCCCTTAGAAATTTTGCAAGCAAGTTTGATTATGCAATGCTCTAATCATTTTGAACTGCAGACTGCTCAGAAACATTGCCCAGAGAGGTGGACTCCAATGGTACCAAGATGACTATTTCTAATCAAATAGATGCCGGCATCCAGTCCACACCCCAGCGGTATGGCCGGTTTCTCTTAAACTGGGTTGCAGGGCACTTCACTCGAGGATTTTCACCCCCCCCCCCCCACCCAGTGCCCGTTAAGTGCTATTCGTTTGCGCCTTGTGTGATTCTTTGAACATAATTGTTGCCTCTTCAAAGAGGTTCGCAGCACGACTAACATGCTGTTAGAATGGAGGTTTACATGCGCATTTAGTTTCCTACAGGTAGTTTGGTTCCCACTATTTTTGGCCAAGAGATGGTATGATGAAACCTGGAGATAAAATATTAGTCTATTGACACTGGTTTACCTCGGAGGTAAATTTGAGCTAGAGGGAATTCTCTCCAGTCATTTAATACGTTAAGGGATAGGAAGTCTGTACTGAACCCTTCAATCCCTACTGGGACCCTTGAGAGCTCTATTTAGAATTAAGAATGTATGCTAGCAATGCTTGCAAAAAGATCAGGTCCACAACGTCTAGTTACACCAAAATTAATAAATATCCTTTAAGCCGAATTCCACGGAGTGTTAAATTGTCATAATTTGTCTTTATTTACGTAGGGAAGCGTCTTAACTAGGCAGGGAGACATGTTAAACCCCAACCCTTTGCGTATTATCGGCTGTAAAAAAGCAAAATGTATAAAGTATTAGTTATAACTTGTGTTTAGGAAGACCTGGTGAGAGATTTGTGTATACCGTGGCAGGTGACAGTGTACGAGAGCTGATCTCTCCGTGCCTGTGTTCTGGGTCGATGGGCTCTGTACACCAGGCGTGCCTGCAGCACTGGCTCACCCTCGCCTCCTGCGACCGCTGTGAGCTCTGCAACTACACCTTCACCATCACGCGCTCCCCCAAACCCTTCTGGAAGGTAAAGTTTTATGCCAGACACAATACTTAGTTTCGCGCCATACAGGTGTGGTGAACTTGAAGGGTGAGGTCTTTTCTCTGGAAGGGGCGTGACTGTGTTAAAGGCGTTCTCTAGTGCACACCATTACTCCACAGTTCTTGCTGAGCTGCGACAACCCTGAGATTCGTCGCGCTCTGCTGGTAGATGGCCTCTGTATGCTGATACTCACACCACTGGCAGCCTTCTCCATCTATCTGTGCATCATGGGCGCCTTGCAGTACGCCCACGGCACCCAGTCCGCCCACAGCACCCAGTCCGCCCACAGCACCCAGTCCGCCCACGGCACCCAGTCCGCAATGTCTGTCCTCACTACAGAGCTCATGGCTCTCGCCAAGCATAAACTACAAAAGATGCAGGTAGGTGATTGGAAGTCTTGTGCTGGTGACGACTTGTTAGTGCAAATCTTGGCGACTACTGGGACGTGTTGTCTACCTGTCCCTCCAACTACCCTTGTGCCGTAGTAACGTAACTATCTCGGCTATAATATTCTTTGTACAGGTAATGAACTGCGTGTTTACCCCAAGGAAGAGGTACGGAAAATTCGAAGTTTTCGTGTCTAGGAAAGTTTCTAAACCAAATAATTGTTCCCAAAGTAATCTTTCAAAATATTCCAGGTAGCGATAGCTTAAATTGTTACGAAATTAATTGAAATTGTCACAGGCTTCTTGGACAGGGCCAAAGATGACAATTCTAATGGTCTGAATGGCACAAAGTTCTTATCATTCGTTAACTTGTCAAACTTTTTACCAACATTACAATTCTTTTGCCTTTTGATAATTTCCTGCACTGAAGCATAATTGTTTCAAAATAATCTAGTTCTGTTAGATTAAGGACCTGCCCGAAACGCTATGCGCGCAAGTGGCTTTACAAGAATGTAAAAACATCAAATGCTATATACTTTCATAAACCCAATGTACCTTATTGTATATAAATACTTCTATTCCAATGTACAGAACAGTGTGGGTCGAAATGCTGGTGAAGTAACAAAGAAAACTGAGCCACCACCGAGTGGGAAGCCTCAAGAGGAAGAAGAAAAGATAGACGCTCCATGGGAATCCTTCGGTCTGGCACTGCTTGCCTTCCTCATCCTCGGTATTTACACGACCTGGGCTGTTGTCGTCATCAGGTCAGCCGAAAAAGTTTTGTAAATGTAATATTAATGATCGATGATTACTATGTAGAACAGTCGTAGCTTCATGGGTAGGTCCCCTAATTTGATTAAATTATCTTGAAGTCTTCTCTTAATGTATTTGACAATATTGGGGGGTTGAGGCGGCAATGTCTCCCTATTGCCTTAATTAACTGGCAAGGACACTGTAATGGGCATTACCTCGGCAAGAACACAACGTCTATACCTCTTGGCTTCCCAAGTCACTTGTCTTTCATGAATAAAAATAATTTTGTTGCTGTTTATCCTCTTGTGGATAAAAGTTTCATTTGCCAAGTTCCTCACGCAGTCTACATGTTCTCAAAGCACCCCAGTTCAACTAAATCCTTTGCAACCCATTTTGGTAACATAACATGTCAAATACATCGGCTAGTTTCCTCACTTTACGTTTGTTTGTGACCTACTTTCTAAACTGCATTGTCCTCCTCGGCTATACCATACCCGAATAAGTTTTCAGCAAGCTTTCGCTGAAAACTTTCGCTTTCGTGCTTTCCTGTTCTTGCCGGCATATTGAGTGACCATGGTAATTTTGACAATTTCGAATTGCATATTGCTAACCAATGTGTTTTGCCCCTTTTCCTGGCAATTAAGCTGTCGTCGTTCTAACAGTTACCATTCGCGAGTGTGGCGTCGGTGGCGAATCGTGCACCAGGACCTGATACTGGTCAACGGCGAGAGGCAGCCCGCTCGACTCCCCGCCTCCAGCCCCCTCTACCACAACGTCGACGCCACCACCAGCCCCGTGAGTTTGCAGAGTTTGGGCAGGTCGTCACCTTTCAGACAGGCTGGTTCCGTGGACACGCAGTTGACGGGGGCCACCGTCGACAGTGCAGGCATTACTCCTGACGAAGGAATGCTTACCTTCTGCAGCAGTCATAGCTCGTGATAAGCCTTGCCGGCAGAACGGGTAGACCGGCAGTCGACCAGTCTTCAGGAAAGAATATAATAAAGCTACGCGCATTTTCTTCACTGCCCAACACGGCCGCTGGCAGGCCTGATCTCTGTGTAAATGTTCATATGAATAGGTTTTATTAATGTTTAATTGGCGCTACGGCTGTGCCATTCAATAAATTTTAATGTATGTATGTTTTATGTAAAAAATTTTTAATTTAAAGTTTGTTTTATTTCAAAGTATTGTCAGCCTTGCGGATACGCAGAATGCTCAGATAACAAATTTTGCAGTGTTAAGACTGCTGGTGATATTAATCATTTGAGCGTCGCCTGTTTCACACATTATAGACCGGTTGACTGTAAATGATGGCTTTACTCCACACATAATTAGCTGCAATAGAACGTGCTACTTAACGCAGTGAAATTTACTAGTAATTTTATGATTTTTAAGTCTGCTCTTAAAGTACTTGAAAACCGAACATTGCAAACTAGATACGAAGAATCCTGTCTTAGTCATAAGGACCCAAGATTCCCATCTGCAGGGATGCTGATCCTACACGAGACAAGGCGGAAAAAAAATAGAAAATCATTGTGAGGGGTGGGGGGGGGGGGGGGGACGCGGGCAGCCAATTTACTTTATATATTTCCTAAAAACAAGCTCGGGTATACACAGCAATGTGCTGCTACCTTTATTTATATGAAGGATGTGTAGAAGAGCTAAAAGTTCAAAAAATATTCCCCACCTCGCAGGATGATTAGTCATACATGGAATCTGGGGAGAAAATGCCAGCCTCGATACAAAAATAAACGAAAGTTCATCAAATATTCCTATACATGTTGGGCTTAGAGGGTCCTTCCCCCCCCCCCCCCCCCCGTCCCTCAGGATGCAACCCCCACAAAAATCCGACTAACTCCCGGGTAACTCTTTACTGCTAGGTAAACAGGAACATTAGGTAATTAGGTAATCGGAAATGTGCACAATCATTTGTCCCGACCGGGATTCGAACTTCGGAATTCTAGATTGAGAGTAGAGAACGAACCAGACTAAAACCGGGAAAATAGATTTTCACTTGATGCCCTTGTTCACTTAACCGGTACCTGGGAGTTATAGCTGTTGCAGGGCTGCATCTTGAAGATTATGCGTTTGAGCGCGCATGTTGGAATTATGTAGTAGATATGACGGTAAAATGGGTAGTAGGTATATAGACGACCGACAGTTAGAATGGTGGGGTCCAAGAGCTAACTGTTCAACCATGCAGGCACAAATGATGCACAGAGCAAAGTCTCGTCTGAATGGACACCCTCTCGCATAGGTGTTGTACAACATTATGCCAAGGAAGTAATTATCAAAAGAAGGCACCAAACCGGGAAGGCTGTGTAGTACCATCAAATGCGCAAGATAATCAGAGGGCGCTAAATATCACCAAGGATGCCAATACGAGAACAAAAACGCATCAGACGAAAGATATCAAAAGTATCAGTCACCAAGAATTCTATTGAGGGACAGGTGACCGCGAGGGGCTTAAGCCAAGGAAGCGAAAGCCGGCTGGGACAATCCTGAAATGGTTAAATATAGACGTTCCAATCTCTTGTAAAGGCAATATTATTTCAGAAAATTAAGGATGGCAGAAGAGCAATCACAGACACTCGATGGACAGAGTATAGTGTCATGTTGAGAACGGCTATATATACGGACAGTACAAAACGTCTACTAGGCAGTGTAATATTGTAATTGCCAGAATTAGGGTGGGATACATCTATGGCAGTTGACTGAAATGTAACGAATCCCTCAATGGCGAATATTCAAATTGTAAGCCATGTGAACCTTAACCTAACCTGAGCAGAGTCCCTTACTGAAATGGTTATACAGGCAATTCTCATCTGTCTGAGGTTTAGGAAGCCCGACGTTTAACACGTTCCTTTCGCCTCGGTAGGGCCACAAACGCGGCCACACAGACCACCTCTTATTCAGAGATAAAGTCGGTAGGTTGCTGGAAGGGAAATGCCTTCAATGTCTACATCCGAGCAGGAAATGCCACGCAGGTCCCAGGACCCATGGGGCCCCTCCCTTGCCCTCCACGCCCCTCCCTGTCCTGGCAGGGATAGGCGTTCCTCGCCAGTCGTACTGGCGACGGGGAAGGCTCTGCCGGAGCCCCCATCGTGTATCCCACCCTACCATTGTCTCTCCTGGTCTTCATTTACTTCAAATCTCTACTGCCTTAGCTGGGCCCGCGTCCTAACATTATTCTCCTATACCTTGCTATTCTACTGTGCCTCCTTTTGGACAACTTGCTGGCAACTCCTATTTTATTCTTAAAGTGAATCCGGGAATCCGGAAACTCGTTCACGAAGTTGGTTCACATTTACATTTGTCCTCCAGTTATTCAATGTTTCACCATACGATTTGTCCTCTTGTGAAGGAGGAAATGTATATGTTTATCTCTCAGAATGTTTGGTAACATGTTTGTTTGTGATGTGTGTCTATGTAGGGAGGGAGCTGGGAGCTGGTCGGCCGAGCGGACAGCACGCGGGACTTGTGATCCTGTGGTCCTGGGTTCGATCCCAGGCGCCGGCGAGAAACAATGGGCAGAGTTTCTTTCACCCTATGCCCCTGTTACCTAACAGTAAAATAGGTACCTGGGTGTTAGTCAGCTGTCACGGGCTGCTTCCTGGGGGTGGAGGCCTGGTCGAGGACCGGGCCGCGGGGACACTAAAAAGCCCCGAAATCATCTCAAGATAACCTCAAGATGTATGTACTAACACGTTGTACTGAACGGGGTGAGAATAGCTTGAGCTACCTCATCCCTTTGTGTGTATTTTACCTCAATAAACTTATTTCAATTTCAATTTCAATTTGTTTTCTATTATTTATATGGAATAATAATTATGTTAATTATGGAAATAATTTGGACAACTAATTGTATAAACGTTGTAATATGTGATGTTAAAACAACAATGAATAAATTTATTTATAAACCCAATCCGGATTTTGCTCATAATTCCAACAATTCTTGAGATATTCTTGTGACCCAGAGTTTGCTTGTAAGAGTTAATAAAGTCGTAGATAGTTTTTGATCTGACACATGGAATAGGCAGCCTATCCTCCTGTTTTGGTAGTACTTAAAGTAAGGATGAGGACCATAGTGTATATACGGACGTACAACGAAATTAGAACGCCCAAAAATCTGAACTATCAAGTTGGACAAACCGGGAAAACTACTTTTCTTGTTGCTTTGACACTCTTTGACAAACTTTGACAAACAAACTAGGCCTCCCTAGGCCTAATACACGATATCAGAGGCCTAATATAGTATGTGTGCGCTATACTAGGCCTAGGAATATTTATTTTATACCTTCATTTATTTTAAAAAGAATTTTACTAATCGGTATACTACTATCTAGAAGTTAAATATGTACGAATTCGTGACTATTGACGATCGTCACAATAGGTACTATCTGAACAGGAGGATGGGTTTTATTAGGGTAACAGCAGATTGCTATGTTTACCAAAGTTTGTTTACAAAACAAATCAGCTTGGATTAGTTCATGTCACGGTGAGATTGCAACTTTATGCAAGATATTTATCGCAGATATATTTAGCGTTTGTTAACATTGTTGTTTTCCGGGAGCCGACAACCATCAATGTCGTCATTAACGACAAGTTTCATGAATTTGTAGCATATTTTATTAATGCTGTATTATTTGTTGTTGACCGGGGCGACGATTCTGCATTAAATTCTGTTCACAGTTGTTGACAGGAATTGCCGATTCGCTCAATCTCGTATAAACAGATTGGACATGTCTTTTTACATAATAGGATTAATTTTTTATTCTTCTGGTTAAATTGAATTAAAATGACACACATCTTAGGACATAACCTAAAAGGCGATCATCGTCTTTTTAAGAGGAGAAACATATGTAGAAGAGTTGAATAATCCAGTGATAGCTGGGCCCACGACCAGGTGTCTGCCTGCCTCAAGATCTTCCGACTCTTCCCAGTAGTGCTTGTACAGCTGTGGGAGACGGTGGACGTCGCCCTTCCTTCTCAGTAAGCTATCAACTATACACGGAGGAGAGGCAGCTATAGCACACCTCCATGTCCAGTGTCACACTGTATATAGGCCTCATAACATGTGCGAGTGATCATGAAGTCTTGTTTTACTTGTAGGGATGAGGTGCTGTGCTCATATTATGTTAATATTTGTAAATAATTATTTGAACACTATTTTGAAAATGCTAAACTTCCCGGGCCTCTTATAACTTATTTTCCCTTGGGATGGAGGTCCTCTCCCTTGTAAGACCCACACTACTGCTCTTACTATTATGTTGCCAATGCAGGAAACTTGTATTATGATGTTAGTTCTTTGATGTTCGCTAATAGGGTGACAAACATCGAAATTGGGAATACGCTGTGAAAGTGATAACAAGAATCAGATTTAAGATATCATGGAAAAGTTATGTTGTAACAAGTGTTGAACAAAACTAGAACAGTGACCAGATCTAGAAACGGTTGCAGACGAGGAGTCACAATAATGTGGCTGAAATATGTTGACCAAACCACACACACTAGAAAGTGAAGGGACGAGGACGTTTCGGTCCGTCCTGGACCATTCTCAAGTCGACTGTGGACTTGCATGGACCATCCACAATCGACTTGAAAATGATCCAGGACGGACCGAAACGTCGTCGTCCCTTCACTTTCTAGTGTGTGGTCTGGTCAACATAGAAACAGTTGCTGATGACCGCTGGAGGAAACTTAAACTATCTTCTGATAGTTTAAGCAAACCCAAGAAAGGTACAAGCACCTTGTATGGGTGTCAGGAACCCAGAGTGAGAAATTACGATTGACCCAGGAAACTGCCATGCTCAAAGTAAGTGTTCCATCCCTCCCCCCTTTGCTCAGCGTAATAATCTACTCCCTGTAGGCCTATACTTAGTCAGGATGTCTTATTTTATTAACTAAATTAGAATGGTCATCAAACACTACTTTCATTTTACAGTGGTTTCTCTGTCGGGTTAAAAGTTAAATATAGTAATAATTGCTAATTCCCTTATAAATTATTTTAATTATGCAAATACAGTACAATACAGAACTGTACAGACATTATATAAACAAATTAGAGAGACGAATGTAAAGGAGAGACGAAACACGTCGGGCGTGATACGACACAACTCGGCCAGACGAGCAGTAAGGCATAACTCTGCCAGACACAAGACATACATAAGAACACGAGACAGGTCTGCACGCCCTCAATGGCTCTCGTCGATTTTCGTTAAAGTCCACTTTTAGTAAAATCCAAAAACAATAGTATATTATATAAATTGATTCGGAGGAATATCAATGACCCCTTAAAGGTATAACCATGAGACTAAAGAACCTTATTGGAGAAAGGAAAACTAAGTACACAAGAACAGCGAAGCACGAAGGATTTGGTTCATCTGACGCTATTGTGAGTTTTGTGTATCCTAAAAGTACTTTTCCCCTGCAGGTCATGTTAGGCGTGGTGAGGTGCGCTGGCCTGCTGCAGGCTCCCCTGCGCTCACCACCTACCTTGCCCCGCGCCCTCGCCCTCACAGCAACACCTCACAAAGTAGCAGCCCCAGCAGCAGCAGCAAGAGAAGAGCAGCCATCAACAGTGAAACCAGTATCTGAAGTGCCAGGACCGCGGTCTTTCCCTTTTGTGGGAACTATCCCATCGATGCTCCTAGACAAATGTACGTCGATGTGACCAACTACAGTTATCAGTTTTAGAAATGTTATGATTTATACCATTTTAAATACGGAAACATAAGATATTTATACAGATAGGAAGGAGGGGAGGGTGATCGGTCAAAAGAACATGAAACTGCATTGGCAGGGACCTAAAAATTCTCCTCTAATGAATTATATATGCTTTTCTCCAAGGCTATGGGTCCCCTTCTTCCAGCTCGAGGTGGTACTCCCTATCCTTATTGGAAAAAAATATATCTAGATGTTATATAAAAATATTTAGATGTCACAAACTGCTACGTCAATTATCTTACTTGTATTATAAGCTTAAAATGAGTATTGAATATCAGTTTCTTTTCCATAGCCTTCAAAAGCACCAAGATTCACCTCTACTTCAAAAAGATGACCGAGATGTATGGCCCCATTTTCAAATTTTCACAGCCATTTAATCCCCCGACGGTGTTCGTGGTCCGGCCTGACGATACTGAGGCCGTGGTTCGAGCCACCATGGACAACCCCATCAGGGACGGGTTCACATCTTTCCAGAAGATCAGGAAGGAGGCCGCTGACAACTACTTCGAGAATAAAACTGGACTGTTGACAGAGTAAGTGCATATATATTTTTTAAACTGCGCGCGCGTAGGCGCGTGCGTGTGTGCCTACATCCCCTACACACCTAATAGTACGTGTGAGGGTTGAGCTGTAGCTCTGGTACTGCCTCACATCATTTTATCCTAACCTAACCTAACCTAACCTAACCTAACCATCCTAGCTCTAATGCACGCTGTTTGGGGCCTAATGTACTACATATATGCACTATACTAGTCTAGGAATATTTAAGGTTGTGTTTTAGCTTTATTTTGTCCGTTCTCTATATAGTGAATAGTAACAAAAAATACTATCGTATTAGGAGGATGGGATATATTATATATAATATATATATAACTGAAAACTCACACCCCAGATAATATATATATAAATATATATATATATATATATATATATATATATATATATATATATATATATATATATATATATATATATATATATATAATATTAATGTGGTGGAAGTCTTGCAGGAACGGTGAGGAATGGTGGAGGGTGAGAAGCAGGGTCCAGACGCCAATGCTCCGCGTGAAGGAGTTGCTTCACTACCTGCCTCTCATGGATCAAATTACTATGGAGTTCATGGACAGGTAGGAGAAATAAAAACAATAATAATAATGCTAATATTACAACAGCAACTCTATTTTATTTATAAACAAACTATTGATTATCACAAAATGGACTTTTTCTCTTTCAGAGACAGTTAATGCATTCAGTGGGGTGTGGGTTATTATATGAGTCTGCCTTTGTTTCTCCAGTATGTCTGTCTACTGTGCGAGCAGTAGTATTGCATTTACATGTCTTTGTCTTTTTGGTCAGTGTGAGTTTTCTTTCTTGTTATTTGTCTGTGATCTTTGATATGACTGTTATATTTTGTCTTTATCTTTAGGACTAATTACATCAGCTTGAGTTAGTTCCCGTTTTCTGATATAATGGCAATAATAGTAAGCTAGAAATATTATAAATATAATAATTGAATCTTGTGTTGAATCTGTGTTAATGGCAATGTGACTTTATGAATTAGAAAAAAGTTGTTTGAACTGAGTAGCGCAATTTTTAGTAAGTTGTGCCAAAACATTATTTTTAGTAATGTGTACGTTAAAAGTAATAACTCAAAGTAATACAGTAGACTTTTTCAAATCCCTTGTGCTTTCCCGCCTTGAGTTCTGCTCGATACTCCTCTCTCAAGTCAAGGTACGAGACATTTCTGAAATATGAGAGATAAAGAAAATATATACTACACGAGCTGATACGGTACAGCACATCAATTACAGGGATAGTCTCTCAGCACTCCAGTGTACTTGGACAAAAAAAAACGAGAAAGATAACATAAGAAATTTTGCCGGAACAAAAGTGGATGTTATCAAGAGGCAATTACAGTCTTACAGGAAGTGCCAGATCACCCTTTTTTTTTGTTTAATCAGACCTACAGACTGCTACAAACAGCTCCCTGACCCATCTCTTCATCACCAAACAAGCCTGGCCCCAAAGCCGGTCATTGAGAATAAAAGAATTCTCGAAATTATCTTTAGGTAAACCCAGGTAAAAGGATTTGAACTCACAAGCAAAAAAACAGTTGACTGGCTCTATTGTTGTGATATGAACATTTATGTTAGAGTAGGTTTATCTCTCTCTCTCCAGTAGAGAGAGAGAGAGAGTCGAACGCGGGTTCATTGGGAAACTTAAGTAGAACGCCAACTTCATCTCAGAATTTTAGAAACAAAATATTTTGACCTTTCCTCAGAATTGCGTCACTGCAGTCACAGTTTGGTGAGATGCCGAGCGACTTCCAGAACGAGTTATACAAATGGGCTCTCGAGTGTGTGTATAAGCTCAAGACTTAATAATATCTCTTCATTTTACTAAATGAATGACATTTATAAGTGTGCATAAATCATTTTAATGAGTACATGATATACTTAATTCAAAATATTACTCTAAATATAATTCCAGTTTCATTTTGTAATTATGGAAATATATTTGTCCATTTTTTTTTTAAATACAGCTGTTAGTTCTGTAGCACTGAACCGGCGTCTTGGCTGTTTGGACTCAAACATCACAGCAGACTCGGAACCCCTGAGGTTGATCAGACTGGTGAATGAATTGTTCCATTCTCTGAATGAAGCAGAATTCGGCGTTCATCTCTGGCTGTTGTTCCCTACTCCTTCCTTCACGAGGCTTAAGAAGACTCACCAAGAGTTCTTAGAGTAAGAGCCGAGTTACGTATCAAGTTGTGTTTATCAGGCTATTGGATATCAAATTGTTCCATTGCCTGATTTAAGAATAAAAATTGGTATTATTATTATTACAATAAGGGAAGGAATGAGCTGAGAGGCTCGAAAACTGTTTCAGATAACCACTTGAGAGTTTGATACAGGGTATAATTATTACAATTAACGTTTGCAATATTGATGTTCATATATAATATATATATATATATATATATATATATATATATATATATATATATATATATATATATATATATATATATATATATATATATATATATATATATATATATATATATATATATATATATATATATATATATATATATATATATATATATATATATATATATATATATATATCTATATATATCTATATATAATATGTATATTGGGAACCTCGATATAAGCCTAATGTGTATGAATACACTCGGGCTTCCTGTCCCCCGACACAATGAATTTATAATATGAATTATATTTTTATAACTATTTTTCAAGCAATTTTGTTTCGGCGCCTGTAATGTAATGTATTGGAAGGAAAACCAAAGAGCTGAATCTATTGAAACCAACTCGTCCTCAGACCAAGTCCATTCTATCCAGCGGTCGACCCCAAAGACACATTCATCAATTTTAACGTTCTGCTCATTCAAAATAGGAATTTTCTCCAATATAAATTAATATTATTATATACTGTTCATATTTAGGTTAGGTGTTTAGGTTCAATTGTCGATTATTTGTATTTGTAGTACGTGGTTGAAACATTTACAGCGTTGTGGTTTGAACAAAAGTCGTCAGTTAAGTATTTGTCCCGGAAGTGTTCGAACGTTATCAGTAGAGTTGTGTGTAAACTGTTTTTCATTAATAAACAGGGGGGTTTGGCGCGTGCATGGAATGGACTTTGGCCTTTGTTTATGAGGACGGGCTGCGGGCTGTCAACTCACACACTTGGGGGACGCCGGAGTTTGACACATAGAGTGTGAAGCTTATCTTTCCTTATCAGCTTCACACCCCAAGGCCTCAACCTGTCCTCTAAACTTTTGACGTCTAAGTCCCAAACGGACAAAATATGTTTTATAAATCATGGCGGCTCACAAGCATTCACGTTTACTATGCATGGGTCGTTCGAGTGTTTTAGTACATCATTTTCTGCACGTTTTGGCACGTCGAGAGGTCGGGCTGCCCACCCATCACTTATCGGAAGCTGAGATCAAAATATGGCTCGCTCTATGAGGGGACGAGAACACTGGGACCAGAGATCTAGAGATCAGAGTGGAGTTCCAGACTCCTCTCGCTCCGCAGACTGATCTAGGTTCTTGTCCTGCCTTCCGGTAGGCGATGGGTGGGTCTCGGAGGTGTGGCCTCAAGACTTGGAAGTGCCAGCGTACAAGCTCTCATACAACAGGCTAAATCTCCTTTATATCGCGCAGAATTGCGGACAAGAACATACGTGAGACGGAGGCTGCGCTTCTGGCGAAGACGGCAAGTGATGGAGAGGACCTGACGCTGATGGAGGCGCTGCTCGTCAAGCCCGGGCTCTCTCGCAAGGACGTCGTCACCCTCATACTTGACATGCTCATCGCTGGCATTGATACGGTAAGCGTGACAGAGAGTGCATATAGTTTATATGTGAGCCACTAACACTAGTAGCCTCGACGAGGACAGGAAGCATGCGGCTTGTCGAAGCTCCCCTCATTTGCATTTATAAACTCATCCAATTGTAATTTAAATGTTAACAGAGTTTTGGCATTTACGGCTACGGCGGGTAGGCGGTTCTACAGGGTTTTCACCCTATATTTGAAAAAAGATATCCTGTTCTCCCGTACATTGTGGTTTGTTGAGCTATATACAATACAAATTAATTTTCTTGTGTTTAATCACGAAGGGAAAAAGTTATATTCAAAATATGGTTTTCCAAATCATGGAGCCACAACGGGTCAATGATAAAATATTCAAATATCTCAGCATTGACATATGGAGTTTCAATTAGTCGTAGTGTCTTTGACTGTCACAATATCATATCCACCAGATTATATTTTGTTTCCTGTTTTTGTGATTGTTGGGTTTTCTGTAGGAAATATTATTTAGGATAATGAATTTATATTTTAGATATAAAATATAATATCTATATTTAGATATAAATATAGATATATCTATATTTAGATATAAAATATATGTTGGTGATCGTGCTTTGCACCATAAATTATTCAAAACAGTTGATTTGTGACTATTTCTGTGGCGTCCGAAATCCCCCTGTGAATGCACTTTTTCCAATGTGATTTATTTTCCTTGTGTGTGTGGGGGGGGGGGGGAGGGGGCGGTATATTCTCTCTGCTACTGAAATATATATTTTGTAGATATCATTTCTAAGTTGAAACAGTCATTCAGCAAGAGTAGTAAGGTTATATTAGGGACAAATATTAGAGATTAGAGTGTTAGAAAGACTCGACCATGGCATGGGAAAGAAGCAGCTAATGATTTAGGAAAAAAACTTAGAAAGCAGACTTAGAATTTATCGGAGAGAAAGCAAAGCTGGTATAGGTTCTGACAGAAAAAAAATATGATAAAATTCTGAATATCAGCATGTTTTAAATATCAATTCAAAACATGTTCTGAATATCAACATATTCAGAAACATGTTTTGTATCATTAACTTTACATAAGTGAAATATTTGATGATGATTTACCAAAAAAGGTCAAATACTTGCAAATCCGGAATATTTGTGAATCGAGAATGATACGACTGACGGTGCTTGCAGACCTCCCACACTCTGGCTTTCACATTGTACCTGCTGGCCAGAAACCCGGAGGTGCAAGCACGACTACAGAAGGAGGTGGACGTGGTGCTGGGGAACCACAAGGGACCCCTCACACAACACCACCTCGCCCAGCTCTCCTATCTCAAGGCTGTCGTCAAAGAATCCATGAGGTAGGAATTTATGATACTAACTTTCATCATCTGTTCAATATGAAGATATTCTCTGTCTCTCACTCTGAATGTCTCTCTCTCTCTCTCTCTCTCTCTCTCTCTCTCTCTCTCTCTCTCTCTCTCTCTCTCTCTCTCTCTCTCTCTCTCTCTCTCTCTCTCTCTAAATCAATTAATCAATTGGTTTAGGAACAGGGTGTAGAATTATGGAACAAATTATCAGGTCACATAATTGACATGGGATCGCTGGATTGCCTCGAGCAAAGGTTGGACATATATGTTAATAATTTTGAATATAACCAGGAGTTGCCTCGTAAGGGCCAATACGCCTTTTGCAGTTCCTTTGTGATATTCTTATGAAGGCTGGCAATCCAAGCTGGTCAGCTGTAAAGACACTAAGACCCCCAGATCTGATGGGAAGAGTACTTAGTTTCCACTGAGTCAAGTGGAAGTTTAATGATGATTTCCAGCATGAACTTCAGAAGCGTGTGTTGCTTACTTAGTTCAGTGCTGCTGGGGAACGAAGGTGGACTTGCATCACCTCAGAAGGTGAGAAACCTTAGGGAGAGAGAGAAACCCCTTGTGAGAAGGTTGAAGGCATCCGGAATAGCAATTTTTTCCCCTCTAGTGTTTTATTTATATTCAATTCATTGGTGTGCAAAAGCTGAACTGGATTTTAATTATATATTATTATTATCATGTGTGTAATTGAATATTCTTTTTTTTCCAGGGTTTTCCCTATAGTACTTGGAATGGGAAGAACGTTGGACAAGGACCTTGTACTAAGTGGCTACTTAATTCCTAAAGGGGTGTGTTGCCTTCACTGTAATAAAGTGAACGTTCGCTTCATTTCCATATGAATATTGTGAAACATTGCCCTAAAAGGTCACTTTACATCAGCGTATAATAATGCATGTGTTATCTGTTTCATTAACTCGACACGTTTCTGGCGGCGCCCAGTGGATGGTGGCAATGCTCGGCATGCTGATGGGCTGGGACGAGTCCTTGTTCCCCCGGGCAAAGGAGTTTATTCCTGAGCGTTGGTTGAGGCACAAGCCCCTTGGTCCCATCCATCCCTATGCCACCCTGCCCTTTGGTGCTGGTACCAGGATGTGTATTGGTCGCCGCATTGCTGAGCAAGAAATGTTCACTTTTCTCGCGAGGGTAAGTCATCCAGTAGTGTCTCGCTAAAGTAAGTCGTCCAGTTGTGTCTCGCTAGAATTAGTCGCCCAAAAATGTTTCTCTGCGCCAAGTAATCCAAGAATGGAGAACACTCTTTCAATAAGACATGGAGTAATCGTTTTGGAGAAAACAAACACAGTTAGTTTAATTCATTTATTATGCACCCCATACCCATCTTGTGGGCGGTAGTGGAAAGGGTTACAGAAGCACATAATGGGCTCAGGGACTGAACCCCACAATTCATTTAGCTAAGCAAGTTACTATCTTGATGAGCTATTTACAAACTTTAATATAAGTCGTCACATCAACAATGGGTTCGAGATCGACCTCAAGTACAGGTTCTAAATTAAGCAACAAACACAGAGCAACAAAAATCATTTCTGTTGTATTTAAATGTGTTATCTATTAAAAGAAATGTTTTAGTTTTCTGTTATCGGCACTTGGAAATTGTATTTTGTGATAGACTAAATAAATATATTTATATTACAAAGTGAATAGGATTATAATTTAATAATTCATTGTGTCGGGGGACACGTAACCATTGTATATATACATGTTAGGCTTATATCGAGGTCCCCCCCCCCCAATGGTGGGGGACCTCCCACCCCCAAGGGTGGGTGGGACCTGGACCCTCCCTAGGATGCAGCCCCACAACTAGCTAATTAACCTATTTACAGTAGGTGAACAGGGAAATTATGGAATTGGAAACGCAGCTAATCATTTCCCTTCCTTCCGGAATCCGAACCCGGAGTTCAAGATTGTTAGTCGAGAGCGAATCCGACTCTACTTCCGGGACCCTATAAATAATGATCTGCTATTTTAAAGTCTCGTGGCTTTTGTGAGGAAGATCTGCTAATTATCTGTTATGTCGAAATATACCCTAAAAATTGGGTTTGTTTTCCTGGTGAATCGGCCATGCTCCGTAGATCCAATTTGAAGAATTGAGTGGTTCTCTTTGTTGACTCGAAGAGAAGAAATAGCATTTACAAATATTAGTTCCCTTAAAAGAATGATTGTTTGATTAATAAATGTTATTCCTCTACAGGCCATGCAACGCTTCACTGTTGGTTATGAGTATGAAGACCTGGAACTCGTCAGTCGCCTCGTGTTCATTCCGTCGCGGCCTCTCAAGTTCACCTTCACTCAGAGGAACTGATAGTGACCCTTGGATGACCCACAACACACAGGCATAAGACAGTATTGACTACTGTGAGTGACGAGTATTTATCAATAAAGGAAACTGTGGCTATCATAACTGAGATTCTGTACTTATTTTCCTTTAAGATAAATTACAAACTACATTGAAACACTACTATACACATCCCAGTGCTCTGTAAATCTTGATAATTCAATTATTGGTGATACAATTAGGGATGATACACTTATTGGTGGTACAATTAGTGAGATACAATTATTGGTGGTATAATTATTGAAGTGTCTTCTGTGTTGGCATCGTTATATTCCGGTCTTGTCCTTAATAATTATTGATATATTCATTAATGTGTATATCAACCATCATCGACCATCCAGCGGGTTGACCGCTGGATGTAATGAACTTGAGTCGAGGACGGGTTGTTTACAGAGTTGTAATTCGAACAGAGGTTGTCCACGAAGCACTGTTCGAGAAATATTCGAAAGTCCACACTTGTGTGAGTCGTGTGTAAAACATTTTTCTATTAATAAACAGGGGGTTTGGCGACTGGATTAACAAGCTTTTGGCCTTTGTTGATGAGGAAGGACTGTGATAAGAGCAGGCTGTAATAAGAGCAATCTGTCATGAAGGCAGGCTGTGATAAGAGCAATCTGTCATGAGGGCAGGCTGTGATGATTCAGGCAAGCATCTCGGCACTATAGTGTGTAAAGATTAATGTAAATGTATACAGGAATCCATCGTTGACTTGCTTTATTAATTGTGTATTGTGTATAAACGCTGCGAAGTCCGGAGTACACTTAACACAAACTTTAATTCGTTGATATCTTAAGTTATATTAAGTTATAACGTATTAAAGTTATATCAACGGTGTTGAGCTTAAGGCCTACCAACGGTGGGAGGGTTACTAAGGTAAATTCATTAATTTACCGAACAACCAAGAAGTATACTTTACAACCGAGAATAATTCGGGTCTGAATCTGTTTAGTGTCATTATAAAGTGTAAGTTTGAGCATTATTATAGTTTACCTCCGTAGTCATCGGCAAATGTTTCTCTAAAAAGATTTAATCAAAACATGTTGTGGTCTTTTGCTAATTATAATAAATATTAAAGTTATTTGTGAGAAATAAATAAGAAGCTTTTGCCTTCATTGATAAACTTTATTGAACAGAAATATAATACTTGTAAATATTAATATCTAAAGCATAATAAAATTGAAGTTCATAATGGCTTAATATAACAAATCAAAATTAATTTTGTACAGTAGGATTCAAACTTGTATTAAAACTTCATCGCTAACTAACCTAACCAGTTGTGGCTCCGGACAAAGACGCTCTATAAGAGGCATTGACAGGACTAGTTAGACGCGGGTCTCTGGAGGCCCTCTAGTAATACTGGAGAGGAACGCTGGCATCTTAAGAACACACTCAACTTTCACTTCTTCACAAGACGCTATTTACAAGTTCTCTGTGGCTCTCCTCTTCCGGCCGAACGTGTGACTGAAACCAAGTCCAAAACTGTTGGACCTGTTGGAAATAAAGTTTTGCTTTAACATTTAAATGAGAAATAATAATTAATGAAGGTTCCTCACGAGACAAACTTTGAGCTGCGATGAAAATATCAAATATAATCTTACGAGGAAACGCAGACTTTATAACACTTATAAACTGTATATGAATACATGACAGAATCTATAGTAATGACACTGGCGGATGTTGTAATGGATCATTTGCTCATGTTTATAGAAGAGGGTGTAGCAGGTGTTTAGACTGAAGGGTGTAGCAGGTGTTTAGACTGAAGGGTGTAGCAGGTGTTAACAGCGAAGTGTGACGAGAGCAGCTGGAAGAGAGGCCTACCTGCGGCCTCCACCCCGGGAGTGTTGTACACCGGCGGTGAAGGAGGTCTGTTTGTTGGGCTTGAACTCGTAACCCAAATTGGCTCCCACGTTCCTCTCGCTCCCAAGGCTGCATCATGGTATACAGATTACTACATTATCTGTGCTACTGTATAATTTATTGTACTGAATCTTTGTTTATATGATCTATATATAGATAAATATTTATCAACAAAACAAAAACTGTACTAAATTAACAAAGCTTTACTTGCGCATTTTACTCTTTATATATTTCAACTTTGAGTTAAAATACTGAGCCAAAGTGCACCAACAGTTTACAATAACAATGATAAACAGTGGAATATGGTTATCTTACCCGGGAACTTTGGTGCGGTCAACACTGAGGCCGCCTTGGATTGTGTGTTTGTTGAAGGTGTGACCCAAGTTGATGCTAGCGCTGTCTCGCCGAGCCCTGCAACACATGCAACATATCATACGTTATAGACCCCTGACCCTTGAAATACACTGAACACACCCCATGTTCCGTGGAACATGGGATATAGGTCATGGAACACATCCCATGTTCCACGACCCCTTCAACATACAGAACACACACCATGCGCTAATTCCCTTACATATCTTGTCCCTTATACTAGTAGGAGGTACCCAGTTGCATCATTTAAGTATAGGGTGCTCGTGGAATGCAAATCTGCTATAAGAACATTCATTTTGCATATCAATATCTGATTTTTTATAATTATGTACACACAATGTAACTCTATGGACTCCAAGGCCACTATTTCATTTACGCCGACTTCAGTGGGTTCCCCATCTGAGCCCTGATCCCGTAAAGGGGAGCAATAGGGCCAACCTTGACCTCTCTGTGTTGGCCAATCCCTTCCACTTACCATGTAACTGAGTTACTTGGTAACTGGTAGGGTTACATGGTAACTGATAGGGGTTACGTGGTAACTGGTAGGGTTACATGGTAACTGATAAGGGCTACATGGTAACTGGTAGGGTTACATAGTAAGCTACCAGGTGAGTTTAGCACCAAGCGACTGGCCTCCAACCTTGGACAGACCGTCAAAAAGAAATCTTTTATTGATGTAGATATAAAAGTCTTCTCTCCAAAACCCTTATTATTTCTATATAAGCAGTGAGTCAGTGTGTGGTCTCCAGTTTGTTACACAAGTATAATATATTAAGCTGTGAGGAGAGTCCACTTACCCACCACCCAGGCGTTCAGTGTTGGCGGACCCGGATACTGTGGTCTGTCGCTTTCTTCGTTCATGATTCAAACCATCTTCATCAGAGTTTAGAGACGGTTCTCGTCCCTCGTCTTGCACCAAATATGGATCAAGCTCCTCGTCCGACGTGTAAATTGGCGCCAGATTGGTATCTTGTGTTGGTGTGTTGGTGAGCTGCAGTGACGAGCCCTGGAGGGGGCTGCCTGTCACCACTGCTAGGAGCAGGGCGCTCACTGTGAGTGTTGTCTGCATGTTAGACTCTTGCTGAGGACAGTGGTGACGGACTCTCGGCTCCAGCAGGTTATATACTCCTGGACAAATTGTGGGAAATACCCTCAACCAACAACAGCAAAATGATTTGTTGTCAGTCTGATCGTGTCCTTGACTGTGAGACGCAACAATCTGTCCTGCTTGGAGTTCCCGTCACTATTTTCCCAGAATTATTGAAACGTTCCCTCTGCTGAAGGAAAAAAAATATTTTGAGATTTTTTGGAAGGCAATCATCGACTTGTATCTATTTATTCATTTCATAGTATATTATCATTGTACATGTTTGTGTAAAATGTTAAGTTAAAGAGTGTATGGAAGCATTATAACCTAGACTACGATAATGCGTATATTTCTAGATATTTTGAGAGGCAATCATCAGCTTATATCTCTCTATTCATGTCGAAGTACATTGCAAGTAATATAAGTTTGTAGACAATTTTGAATATAAATAAGGGGAGAAGGAAGTAATTAAGGAATCTACATGACAGCATTTTAACTTAGACTAATAATGGCGAAGGAAATAGGCTGACAATAGTAAGTTATTTAACAAATAATACAATTCAAGTCAAATAACTCCTCAGATCCAGATGAAGTATTTGACAGTATTAGGGTATTTGAAGTATTAGGGTTATCTAAAAATGGAAAAAAAGACCCGAGAGAGCCCTTGTCTTGCATATTCATTAGACTCGGGCAAGTTATCAGAGTTGTGGAAGGATGTAAGGGTGATTCATTCTCGATTTTTGACAAGGATGAGAGATCACTTTCATCTAATTTGTCGTCCAATTAACTTAATGTTTATTCTGAAGAAACTTGCTTGAAGCGATAACTGCAAAAGCCATTTGTTTACATCTTGAGAAACAAAGATCATTGGAGGATTCACAACACGGCTTTCCAAAGAGTCGTTCATGTTTAACCAACTATGACTCGTCTCTCGTAGATTTCAAGCACTTGAGATGGAAAGAATTGTGATTACTACCATCTCCACCCACTATCACCACCCACGGGACCAAAGAGCCAGAGCTCAATCCCCGCAAACACACCTAGATGAGTACGTACACAGACACAGACACAGACAGACAGACAGACAGACAGACAGACAGACAGACAGACAGACAGACAGACAGACAGACAGACAGACAGACAGACAGACAGACAGAACCAACACACACACACACACACCCACTATACCTACACAGACCCTACACATACACACTATACCTACACAGACCCTACACACACACACTATACCTACACACACACACACATACACACACACACATACACACACACACACACTATACCTACACAGACCCTACACACACACACTATACCTACACAGACCCTACACACACACACTATACCTACACAGACCCTACACACACACACACTATACCTACACAGACCCTACACACACACACACTATACCTACACAGACCCTACACACACACACACACTATACCTACACAGACCCTACACACACACTATACCTACACAGACCCTACACACACACACACACACACACACACACACACACACACACACACACACACACACACACACACACACACACACACTATACCTACACAGACCCTACACACACACACACACACACACACACACACACACACACACACACACACACACACACACACACACACACACTATACCTACACAGACCCTACACACACACACTATACCTACACAGACCCTACACACACACACTATACCTACACAGACCCTACACACACACACAC